AATATTAAATACGTATTTTTTTTTTACTTTAATTTAACAAGAAATAGCTTAGATAACAGGCATTAAAGTTGAGGAGTGGGGGCTAGCTACGTCACAATTTAGTAGAAAACGTACCCTAACGTGACGTCATGCGAACTGTCAACTCCATGTAACGCCGTAATTTTATGATTACGAAAAAAATAAAAAAATACGTGTTTAATATTTTTTAACACTCTACCTGACGGACAAACAAACAAAAACAGATTTTGTTTGTCAATCGGTTTGCAATTAACTTCTACCAATTTGATTTTAACATTCCACACTTAGTTAAAAAATTTTGGCATAATATTTCAGAATTTATCAAGAACTTCTTCTAGTCATACATTTTTAATTAGTCTCAATATATTTGTACTAAGTTACAAAATCTTTACAATTTCACACAATTACCAAATATTGTCACTAGAAACTGGCGTGTAGCAGATATCAATTATTTTAATATAATTAAGCTTGTATCACTTATTTTTAATGCAAGAGTGAGATTGTAAATATACATAATTATTACATAATCGTGATATACGAAATTTTGTAGTTGAGAAATTCAAATGAACTCACTTAAAAATAAATTTTATCGTATTTACCAATAATTTAAAATCTCCCCTTTTTTAAAGTCAGTAAATATACATTTTTAACTTTTCAACGTTGAATTTCAAATTTTGTAATGAAAATTTTAGAAAAGACTTAAAAGGGATCAATCACAAAAATTCTTCTGAATTGTAAAACAATACTATAGTCTATTTGATGGCTTTTGGCACCTATCAAACGTATCTATTTTGTTCAATAGGCAGACATTCAATTGAACAAGTCATCCAGAAAAAGGTTGCCTTTGCTTGCGTCATTATGGCTTCATTGCGTCGAGCTCAGACACGAAAGGAGAAAGACATCAGAATTTTCTAATAAAAGGAAATTAATATTCAGCCATATGTTGAATACCTAGGGGATAGGAGGGCAAGATCGGCGGGCTAACTTTGTGTAGTAGGCTTAAGTCTCTTATTTAAATTGAAATTGAAATGTAATTATATAATGAAAACCAATTTCTAATTAACAATAACTATATTCTAGTCAGAAATGAGTTATAATTCGTAATGTAAAATCCTGATAAATTTCATTTTGCCCTCATCAGGAAAGGTTAAACGCAATTTAAAATATATAACATAAATTTAAGAATACACACTCCGTTTAACTTACCCTCTCTTCCCTTATATAGAATAGCTCTTCGGGTAACCTATACATGCAAATAAATAACATTGGAGTGTGTATTTTGCAATGTCAAATAACCGCTTTTCACTAAATACATAGTATTAAGTACACGGTACATATACAAAAATAACATTTTTACATTTTTGTCTGTGTGTCTGTTTGTTCCGGCTAGTTTTTGGAACGGCTAGACCGTTTTTACTGGATTTTCACTGGCTGATAACTTATGTAATAAGGGGTACTCTGACTACTTTCCACGTGGACGAAGTCGCGGGCACAGCTAGTATTTGTAATAAAATTTTAGTTTTACCTAGTAATTAACATTTAAAATCATTATTATCATAATATCATAGTCAACATCTCCTGTAGTCACATTTGAAGAGTAAATGTACGACATATTTTACAGTTCTGGATAACCTGATATGGTACCTATTAATAATATTATAATTACCTAATCATTTAATATCACAGAACATAGAGAGAGATCTATGTTCTGTGTTTAATATATATACAAAATAAAATAAAGTCGTTTCTGGCTGTCTGTATGCTAAAATCTTTTAAACTATACAACCGATTCTAATGCGCTTTTACTCAATATACAGAGTAATTTAAGAGGACGGGCTTATATGTATGTATAACACAGAATCACGCGGCCGAAGCAGCTGGTGGAATAGTAGTATCTTATAAACGACGAAAATATAAGAGTTTTTTTTTTTACTGAAATTTATTGCGTGATATAAAAATATTAACTTTATATTAATTAAGACTCTGAATTTATGTTTACGCTATAAGCATTATTTAAACCCATCTAAATATATTTAAACAAATATCCAAACTTTTGAAGAATTCAACATTACAGTACGAGTAAAATGATATTAATAAGTATGTCAAATATATATTTTGAGAGTCTCTTCTCTCATATTGTTAAGTAATGAGGAATGTCAGGCACGTTTTTGGGTTTTCGTACATGTTTATTAAAGCTTCATTTAATAAAGACGAACAAACAGCCTTCGTGATTTCAAAAATTACTTAATTTTCTTAAAGGGATTATGTTTTTGTCATTCGAAGGAATAGATTTAGGAATATAAATTATTCATTTAATTTTCTATAAAGCAAACCACTGTAGTAATTTTTTATAGAGTATAAAATGGTAAAACATGGCAAAACATTTGATAAAACAAAATACTACTTTTGACTATGAAGTACTTTCACATTTTTTTCTATAAAATCTAATTTTAAATATCAAAATCATCGTAATTTACGTTAAATTTCACTATAACCGTGATATATACGAGTATATAATTATAAAGTATTCCTAAAACGCTATTTTGGGGAAATATACTAACTATAACATAAAAACATTAAGTTGAAGTGAGAAACGTGTTTAAGATAGGTAGAGATAACTAGTAAGCTTAAAATAATTAATAATCAAATAATCTACAAAATATTTAAATACCATAACATAGAACTATTTTATTTTCTTAAGATGCAACGCTTATTCAGAAAAAGTATTGTTTTAAAAAAAATGTCTATTAGGTGCAGCGTAAAAAAAAACGACTTATAAACTTCATTAAACTCATTTTTTTATTTCTAATAAACAAGGCAATGGGCAAATGGAAATGACAGCACAGTAATTCACTTAACTTAAAAAAATAATGAGTCTATCTGTAAACGGTTAATTTAGTCTTCGGTAGAGTTAATTAATATTTCATGTATAAATTATTCATAAATATATAAAGTAGATATAAATTTTCGTACTCTTCGCTCAAGTTTGGCGCTATAATAATCCAAATTACAAATTTCGGCAGCACCAGACCGGATTAACGAACGCTTTTCAAGATTTAATTAATTAAGTTATAAATAATAAACTTTATTTCATGTTAAAACAGGGTTTCTTTTGCGGGTTTAGCTGTGAGTAAATATTTTGAATAGACTTTTAAAATAAGAAAGGATAAAAGTTTTTCTTTACGTAATAATATAATGACTCGTCATTATATGTTTGTTCACGAAATTGTTGAACTAGAAACCGAAATTTTAGCTTTTTATTTAAAATATAATTAAAAGTGAGCCCTGTTAAATACTAATTTTATTCTGTTTATAGTATAATATTGGCAACAGAAAATTTTAGAAAATTTAAACTATCTAGCTGACAGACCAATACAGACGAATAACAGACGAATGGACAGCTGAGCCTCAGTAATAAGGTCCCGTTTTTAACCTTTTGGGTTAAAAATCCTAAACCCTAGCGTGCGTGCTGCGGCGATGCAAATAGATGAAATCACCAGCCCTTTTACGTCCCCACTGCAGGGGCTCAGGCCTTCCTTATGGATGGTTAAGGCGGATGGGCCATGACCCTCCACGCTGGCCCAATGCGGATTGGAGGGTATTAACGACTGCAAATGCAGCCGGGACCAACGGCTTAACGTGCCTTCCGAAGCACGGAGTAGCTCGAGATAATAATTTTTTTTTTGATCACCCATCCCGTGACCGACCCTTGCGAAAGTTGCTTAACGATTACGATCGCGGGCCGCGGCGCTTATCCACTACGCCACCGAGCTACTAAATAGAATGATGAAAACTCCGTGAATATTTAACATAGATTTATTGTTTTAACTCAAAAAAATTTGGTAGTACAAATAATATTTATTGAGTTTATTTATTTGTTAGCTGTAATGGTTTGTTAAAACAGACTTCAAAACAGAAATAACACTGAATCTTTAAACGAACAGTTGTTTTGCTAAATTATACTGATATGAAGTAAGTATATATTATTCGACTTTTGCTTATAAACAGACTGAATACTCAACACTTCAAAACATTCACATTATAATTCCCTTAGCCTCTGTAAATTATAGCTTATGTTACTCGCATACGATGTAGTTTACCGTAGCTGGACCGATTTAAAGATCAAAATAGGTAATTTCGGAGTGTATAAAACAAACAAATAATAAAATCTTTTCATATCTAATATTAGTAAAGATGGCTAGGTTTTATCTCAGTACCACGCAGGCGAAACTGCGGATGCCATTTAGTACCTATATGATTAGACCAAAAATATATATTTAAATATATTGTATTTGGACCAACCTATTAACTCCAGCTGCTACTACTGCTGCTAGTTTAAGTCAACCTTAAACAGTAGTAGCAGCTGGAGTTAATAGTCTGAAAACGAAAATAAGGTTAAATATTTCAAGCATATTTTTCATTGCGGTGACTTTTCCTTTTCATAATTTTACACATTGTTTATTTAGGCGCTGCCTTTCGGGTTATATAACATTCTTTTGTTTTGATCTAAAAAAGATAGAAAGATTATGTTAATCGATGAGATCATACTTAAAATCACACTACTAATACATAAATCACACCAAAACTAATCCTTAAAACTATTTCCGGATGATTTTTAAATTATACGAACTTTTCCAAGCATCAATTTTACAGTAAATTTATATTCGTGTCAATATCAAAGCAAAATATGAACTTTATGCTAATGTCAAAGTTAGCGATATTGTCAAGTGTGTCGATCACAACGAAGTTGTTTGTAGCTTATCATTGTTAGATACTTTGTATTGGAGCGTAAAGTGGAAACTGCTATTAGTTAGATAAACGTTCGGGAAAATTATCGCGGTCGCGCCACACTGCGGGACTTTCGCGAAACTCGGCGACTGCGTGTATCGGAGCCGCGCGAGCGAGCGGCAGAAGCTCTGTGACCGACCTAGTTCGCGGCCGCTCGATGCCGCCCGCCGTCGTCGCCGCCGCCCGCCCAGAATAGACGCTGCACGTGCGTCGCCGTGAACGCACGCAGCCCGCGCTCATAAACCGCGTTGTGAACTTTACAAAACTGTATTCGTTAACTTCCAAAACAAATTTTATTTATTTATATAATAAATTCAGAGACGCTTCGCTTTTGTAGTGGCCTTCTATCCTGTCTGTGACTATAGATATTATGGAATAGTGTGATCTATTAGCCTTAAACGTAACAAATACGGTAACGATGTGCCTTAACGTGTAATAATCCTGCGGCCTGAGCCGCCATTTGACAGCTGCGCGTGAGTCATCGAAATGCGATGTCTGAAACTTTGTCTTTTGCTGGCTCTATGTGTCTTTCCGGAGCCAGTTCCGGCATGGAAAGGTGACATGTAAGTAGTGGATGTCGATTTTTAAATATTGTATTTTGCAATAAGACCGTTTATTGTACAGTATAAAAAATATTGAAACAAAATGCCAACGTAAACATATCAATTTTAGTCAGTACGTTAATAATTTTGTGTATATTATGAACGCATCTACTGATTGGGTACGTTAGTAGTGGTCGGTTTGAAGGTTAATATTGATTAGTAGTGATGCCGTATTGTATTGTTTTCTAAGTTAGTTACGTCTGATTTTTCGGTATTGTAATCACCTTAGAGAACTAATGGACGGACCATAAAGTTAAACACCATTAAAATATATATTTATTAATGATTAATATACTGCTAACTTCTACGATATACGATTGATTGACGATTAGTAAACAAGTGATAGATGAATAGTAGTGTGTGTAATGCTTTCTATTTTTAAACATTATTATAAAAAATAATAGTATGCTGCTTTTCTCCATATAACTTTATTTCTGCTTTATCCGTAAAGAGAGGTCTAAAGTTTTTGCTTCACGTGTACTTTACCAGCCCATTAATATCTCCAGCGCTTGGGCATACGTCTTCCCTATGGATGGAACCGAATTGAATCGAAATCATAGGGAGAATGGGCCGTGACCGCGGGCCCAGTGTGGATCGTTTGGTGTTAACGACTGCAGATGCAGCCGGGCCCAACAACGGCTTAAAGTGCAAAAGGAGCATAGAGATGGAGATAATAAAATTTTTTCTCACCCATCCTACAACCAGCTCTTGCAAAAGTTGCTTAACTTCCGCAACGCACATATTAACTTGTCTAAACGCTGCTCAATATATTTAGATTATATGTTATATTAAATAAAAATTAATATGAGAAAATTGTATATAATAATTACTAGCATTTTTTTGTTCCAAAGGTGTATATTGCGTCTATGTACCTGTTAGGTATATGTTAATTTATTCAATAATATTTTCGCATCAAAATATGTTACCTTATTTATAATTCAAAGCGTTTTCGGAACCTAAGCTTTAGCAAAATAAATATAAATATCGAGAGATACATATAAATATTGAGATATATATGTGAATTTCACATATTTTTGTTAATTATTATATTAGGTCCTTATATATGAAATAGGCGTTTTGTCGTACTGGCCACTTTAGTCACAAATTTCTCCTCCTTAGTTGAGAATTCCAAATTCATATTTATACAGTCATTTACACATGTATTTGTGTTTCGTTAGGCGGCATTCATTTCTTTTTTTTTGTTTGTCCCATTTACGTCACCCAGTATAAAAAATTGAAAACTTGAAATATCGTGTTATTTACGAGTACGAGTTCCACCATGGTACCAGTGCTGCGGAAACGGCTCGAAGGGTTAATGATGACACAATGTGTTTTTGGTTTCAACGTTTTCGTTCTGGAAATTTCGACCTGCAGAATAAACCCCGTGGACGGCCGGAGACCCAAGTTAATAATGAAGAATTGAAGGCTATTGTGGAAGCGGATCCATCGCAAACCACGTCCGAGTTGGCTGCAGGTTACGGTATTAGTGATAAAACTGTTTTAATCCACTTGAAGAAAATTGAAAGGATTAAAAAGCTTGAAAGGTCCCTCACGAAATGAGTGAAGCAAACCGGCAAACGCGCTTCGACTGCTGCGTTACATTACTTAACCGGCACAATAATGAAGGGTTTTTAAATCGAATCATTACCTGTGATGAAAAGTAGATTTTCTACGATAATCAGAAGCGTTGGACCCTGGCATGCCAGCCAAATCCTGCCCCAAGCGAAAATTGACCCCAAAAAAGTTACATGTAAGTGTTTATTACAGTTTTCTCAAATCTGGTCAGACGATTACGACAGACATCTATTGTCAGCTATTGCAAACCATGCTGGAAAAACTAGCTGTTAAACAACCGAGGCTGGTCAATCGCTCTACGCCACTGCTACTTCACGATAACGCTAGACCACACACTGCACAACAGACGGCTACCAAATTAGAAGAGCTTCAATTGGAATTGAAATTTGGATAACTTCTTGCAATGGAAAAATTTCAACTCCGATGGGGCAGTGCAAATCGTCTTCAAAGATTTTATTGATTCCCGTCCGAATGGTTTTTTTAGTAAGGGGATCAATGAACTACCTATGAGATGGAAAAGTGCATAGATAACAATGCTTTATACTTTTATTAAATAAATACATTATATTAAAAAATATCCGACTTTTTGTTCCTCCCATACCAAACACCAGTTTCATATCTAAGGACCTAATATAAATGTTAAGCCAATATATCTACAGTTAGCAATCACGTAGTTTCTGAGACAATATTTCTTCCATTTTCATGTCAGACTTACAATTTTGGGAGGCGTTATATTATTTTTACTGGTTCAGAATGACAAATGATAAATTTACATTCTGTGATCGTACCGTGAAAAGAATAATATACTCCATACATTATGCAACTGGGATAAAAAATACATATTTTTCGGATATATATATGGAAATTAGCTCGGTGGCGTAGTGGATAAGCGCCGCGGTTCGCTATCGTTGTAGTTACGCAACTTTCGTAAGGATCGGTCACGGGATGGGTGACCAAAAACTTATTATCTCGAGTTACTCCGTGCTTCGGAAGGCACGTAAAGTCGTTGGTCTAGGCTGCATTTGCAGTCGTTAATACCCTCCAATCTGCATTGGGCCAGCGTGGAGGGTTATGGCCTATTCGCCTTACCCATCCTTAAGGAAGGCCTTAGGCACTGTTGTGGGCCTTAAAAGAAATGACGATGAAATGGAAATTACTTCATATGTTTTACTAACTTTCCGCCAGCGGCTTCATCTGTATTTTGAAACGATGATGTTGACAGAATATTTATCCACAGGGAACCGTTTTATGGGATATGAAGTAGACTATATTTTTATTCACGCTCAAAATTATCCATAAACCAAATTACATAAAAAATCCATTTAGTAGTTTTTATGTAAAAAGGTAATAAACATACATCCACAAAAGCTTTCGCATTTATATTAGGTATGTAAACTTGTTGCATAAAGTTAAAGAATTATTTATTTTTCTTTAATAAACGAGTTGTCAATCATTTATATCACTCCTACTTGTTCAAGACAGACCGTTTCCCAGACAATGCCATTTCCTTGAATAAGAATTTATGTTCGCAATTTGTCCTGCTTCTGTACGCTATAAGTACTTGCGTAAGGTTCAGTAATTACAGTATGACGAGGGTGTATTGTAGTACCAAATAGGTATTATATGATTCATTTCAAAACGCTTACCATGTACTCAAGATGATAGCTTTAGGTTGTGATTCAGACCTAATTAAAATTGATTACAATAAAATACAACTTTCAGACCTTCATAGTGACTTTCGCACAATGGTCGGACATTATGGTGACTAATATTATCTACCCCGGAATTCCTACGCGATTCGGAAAACATGTTAAGTAGTGCCTACTAAAAGGTACTGCGCCCATGTGATGTTACCAATTTTTTTTTTTAATCAAAACGTTACATATTTTTTAATTTTTTTTTAGTATAGTGCTATCAATCCAGACACCTGTGGTGTTTTGTGACGTCTCCCAAATTTATTTTCTGGGTAAATGTGTGGTATATACTTTTATTTATACGACGGGACGGCTGGTCACATTAGTAAGACCTATTTTCTCTGTTTTTCTCTTCAGGGGGAAGGCCTGAATTCCAGCAGTAGGGGGTGTACTAAGAGGCTGAAAATGCTAACCATCAAATATGTATGATATACAAAATTTCTTGCGATTCTGATAGAATACAATAGCAAGAAAAGGTTAAGCCACGACAATTCTAATCGAAATTTGTTACTTATTATTTTATTATATATATAGTTATACTACATTACTTTTACTAGGTTTAATAGGTAAGAAATAATGTAAAACTATTACTTTTGATGACTTCTATATATAAATACTAATGAAACGTTCATCTGGGTTCTAATTATTCTGCTAGTAATTGTGGTGAGTCAATGGCGCTTTTATTCAACTCTTTTTGACACAGTTTTTGTTTTTACATCACAAATAACAAACGTTTAGCTACTCATCTGAGAATCTAAGTAATGTATGTGAATTTGTTTAATATTTATTTATACCTATATAATATTTATTTATGACGAGTATTTTGCACTAAAATATTATGTAGTAGTATAAGAAAGTGTAATGGCGAAATGTAATTAATTGAGGAAACCATTGTGGAGCCGCTATTGTGATATAATTACATTAGTGGAATTGAGGCTCTGTTTGCTAATAAAAACACCTGAAAGAGCGGTGTAAATCTCGTCACCAATACACAACTACTCAAGACTTGTTTTGCACCTATATAAATTATAGTGTGAACCAACGACCTGGTAACGATTAAGGGGTTGAAATGTGTTTTTGGTCTGTTTATTAAGTCAAAATCACGCTCTAATACATTGAAAACAAGATCATATTCTGGCACACGACTACGCTGTCCTTTGGTCATCGCTATTATAATACTTATAGCTATCGTTATAAAATAAATTTCTTGTTTCAAATTTTAAAGCTTGATTTAGCAGTGGTCGGCTTTTTGTTTTAAACTTTTTTTTTTGATTGTCTAATTATTTTATATTTGATTAATTTTGCAGTCACAACGCTTTGTTCTGCTATATCGTCAAATATCTCATATAAAATATTTCAGAAGAAAATTATTTTTAAAATTCGCCAGTTCCAGATATTGGTGAATATTTTAACCAATTTTTTTTAAATATATATAACAGGCTCTTCATATATATCTTTATAAAATAACACTGCTTAAGAGTATAAATACAAGAGTATTTACACAAATATAATAAAATTAGGTCAATCTTTCCAAGACTCAAGTCGTTATAATCGGCAGCCCTTCACAGACTAATGATATTTATTAGACCCTGCTCTCCGTAATCATATTTGACGATGTTATATCGACTCCCAGTGACGATGTTAGAAATTTGGGCGTGTTCAATGATAAAAGTCACACCACCTCAGGAAATG